CTTGAGTGAAAAGCAACTATTTTGTTTGGGAAAACCACACCACAATTGGCATTTAAATCTGACTTACAAAGCTTGCTATTGATTTTTTTTTTAAAGTGTTCTCTCACCGCATATTTTCATCTTAAGCAGTGATGCTGAAAGAAGCTTACCATGCTTTGGCTGTCTGCTCGCAGCTTCTGCAAGGCAGGTGCTCCCAGCTCTTTACAGAGCTGAGACCAAGTTGCTCCTGCTTGTTGCTGTTCTGGCACACTGACTGTGAGTTTTCTTTTCTTCTTTGTTTCTTTTAATTATTTTTTTTTGTAGTAGTACTTCAGTTTTGAATGTCTAGAGCTGATGGTAGACAGGATTGAGAGACTGGCAGTGAATTGAAAAAAAAAAAAAAGAAAAGAAAGAAAAAACAAAAACATTATTTGCCATTCCTTTCCCAGGAGAGCAGGAGAGCATATTGCTCTGAAGAAAACAAAGAGAAAAGCATTTTTGTTAGCCTGAGTCTGAATTGTGTTTCAGGGTGAAAATCTGAAGTTGCTCAGGAGATGTTGGGGATGGGGTGGATATTATTTTTAATAGAATGGGTTTGAAACCCATGGACTGTGGAAGTATGCTGCTCACTTACTCAAGTGCTGTTGTTGAGCCAGATCAAATGTAGTCCATCTGTGTGTATCTTGGTGCATGTCTACCCAGTCAAAGGCAGCCCACTACCTGCCCAGTCTTAGCTGACCAGAAACTCTCCACAAGTTGTGTACCAGCTGTACCTGGAAGTCATGCTGATCTTTGTCACCGTAAGACATCATACCGTATGAGATGTATGACCCATACTGTGATTAAAAAATGAAATGTTCAAACTGAAACTCTTCATCCTGGAATCTATACTAGGTAAATTAATTCCTTCCTATCTTCTGGTTCCTTTCAGCCCCCTAAAGTCAACAGAAGAGCTCTGGACCTACCACAGTAAGGGAGATCAGTCTCTGTTCTTCCAAATCAAGTACAGGGGTACTTTTTCAAGAGACTTCGGACATACTTGTGTGAATATAAGAGCAGCAGCAGTTGTCATATTCACATGGCTTTCATAGAAAATTGAGTTTTGTGAGTAATTGCACTTCTAGGAACACTATCAACAAATCCTTAGGGCACTAGTTACAAGGGAGCATCAGTAACAACCAACAGCGCTGCTCAAAGAGGGTGGCAAGGGCTGTGGAAATCTGATAAAGGTGTGGGATGATTCCTTTTTTCAGAATTGCACTACTTGAGAGCTTCAAGTTAGCAAGGCCTAAAGTTAGCCAGACTGGGCTAATTTTGGACTTATCTCAGTCTAATTTCATTCCTAGAAGTGAAGCTGCTCAAGCTTGGCTCAAAACCATCTTTTCCAAAAGCAAACAGGCACCAGTGCAATTGTCAGTCACCACTGATGCTGGTTACATGATTTTTGAAAATCCCACTAAGGACAGCTGAAAATCTCATCCCAAGTACACTCACTTCAATTTACTCAGCTGTAATTACAGCTCAGCTCTGCTCACACTGGAGTCCTTTGACTGATTTGCTCACTTTCCTAGTGCAGCAAAGATCTATATTGTTGTGTTGAGGGGGACAAAAAATATTTCTGCCTATTAGAAACTGAAAAGTGAAGCTACTGAAGAGTAAGAATGAGATGAAGGTATAAAGAAGCTTAATATCTATTTATCTAATTTACAAACAATAAAAAAGATATTGTTTATCTATCCCCCTTCTCTCTTTGCTGCTCCCCATAACAGTATCTGAAAACAACCATACCGTGTTTGTTAGTTAACAATGTCATACAACAAACCAGAAGTCCAGACTGAAAGCCTATGTGTAAGCAGTTCCAGCACTGACATTATACCTGTGCCTTATTAATGCAGGGATCTTTATTAATCTGAACACCTTGGGACCATACAACCATCTGAATTAATGAAAGTTCATGTTGCCAGTGTGTAGTCATAACCTGTGTAAGGACATTAAAAAAAAAAAAAAAAAAAAAGTCCTCAAAAAGTTTGGAGTGCATGCACAACACATAAAAATTATCTGGAAACCACAATAGTAGGAGCGGGTTAGCTTTTGATTAACCAGCTGCCTGGATTAACAATTTCTGGAATAACAGCATTACAGGACCTAAGATGGTGGTAATCCCATACATGGATTCTCCTGGGCTTTGGAAGAAACTTCAAAATCAGGTCAGATTAATATAGGCCTATCTCAAGACTAAACTTTGAATTTTCAAATCCTCTGCTTATTAGTTTTAAACCCTCTCTGTGTTTTCTGTGCCTAAGAATAAATACTTTCTGGCAATTACATTATTTTGGCCAGTTGCTTCCAGATGCAGCAAGTGGTCAGCATCTCAGACATGATTTACTGAGGTCTTGGTGTCTCCTGTGATGTCACGGTTATCTGTTTCCTAAGGAAATAATCTCCCTGGAAGAATAAACTCATATAAAGAGCTAATGTTAACTGGAAACTGCCAAACAAGTGTTTGTCAATTCAACAGCCTAGAAGTGAATAACAAATACACACACTAACTTCTGTTGATGAAGCAGGACAAAACATTCCCATTTTCCTTTTATCCTCAATTCTCTTGCTGATCACAGAAATAGGAGGGCTGCAGAATAGCTAGGAATGAACTGCCACCGTGTGGCCAAGGGACAGTTTTAGCTGCATTTCCAGTAATGTTCTTCAAGAGCTGTTGCTCTCAAATAAGTGACAGTTCACAGTACCTACTAGTGACAGTTTTAGTCTTGATCACACATTTCACTTCCGTGGTATTTGTGGTGCCTCTCTAGCACTGGCCACAGGCTTTTTGCTGAGGGATTGCTCCCTTTTCATTCTCATGTATAAAAATAAATAAAAAATAATTAAAAAAAAAAAAAAGGTTAAAAGTGGATTATATCACTTCTAATTCCATATATTCTCTGCATTTTCTCTAACTGGTCACCTCATTTCCCATCTTCTGACAGGTGTCAGGGTATCAGAATCACTGAGCCATTTAAGCATTTGTGCCTGGTCTTGCCTTAAAAAGGATGGATAAATTTTTAACAGATCACTTAGTAGACCAAAATGTGACAAAAGCCCCCTAAACATAGCCTGCTGTGACCAGCCATCCTCACAGTGCTTTTTTTTTTTTCTCTTTGTGGACCTGCTCCACCATGGAAACAGAACAGGAATTGTCCAATATTTGCCAATGAAGAGCTATGGACTGTCCCTGCAGCTGTGAAAATTTTGCAGACATCCACTAGGTGCTAATCTAATATTTTTCATACAGCCCATTCAGTCCTGAGCTGCAGATAACCGTATATCTTTGCTATGCATTACCTCGGAGGGCTTCCTGCATCACTTAATGCGGTGCTGACACCTTCTGCCTTCATTGTAACTTTATGGCACTGAAAGATTCAAACCAGAGTGCACATCTTGTCCGGCTGCCAACTTTCCATTAGCTGCCTATATTTCTTCTATGTCTGCCAAAGACACTTGCAATTTCAGCTCACTTACGTTCATTGTGGTTACACCGACTTGCTCAACACAGAAGGATAGTATAAATAAAATGATTTTGAATCCCTTAGGACATGACTTCTTCAACAGACTTCATCTCTCTCCAGTTATTGGGTTTCTGCACACAAGTGTCTAGTTTCTCACAGACAGCTGTGGTTGTGGCGTCACCGAAATTCATAGCCAGAGGCCAGTGGTCAGCAATGACATTAGGTAAAGGAACTTGAAATACCCCACTACTTCAGCTGAGCTGGATCTGAAACAATGAAATAAGAGATACTCTCCTAATGATCTTGCCCGTTACTCCAACACATTCTGGGAAAGAGCTTTTGGAGCTCAGTGCTGTGGGGAACACTCACATACAGCGACCCCCATCGATAGATGCCCTGGGTTTATTCATTTCATTGTCACAGCCTGGGGACGTGACTGAAAGGCCTCACTACTAATCTCTGCAAGGGATCTAGGTCATACGGAGCTCTGCCGGTCATGAATAATTCTTCTGTGCAGTTTGCATCATCAGGGCACCTGTAGCAGCTTCTTAATTAATTACCTGAAAATAACCGCACGTTGCATCAAGGTAATTTAGAGGGCCTACACAAAGCCAAGGGACTCCCTTTGCTGCCAGTGCAGACAGCTCTGTCTGCAAAGCCTTGGAGGGTACAATTCAGAGCAGCCAACAGGCACCTTCACATGCCAACCAACTGCTCCTGGAAACTTACTGGAAAGCTGCCTAGAGGGAGTTGGTGCTAGGCAGACGCACATTTTAGTTTTAGGGTAACACAGAGGCCACTTCCATCCACACGAAAGACTTCTCTGAGGAGGCAGCCATCACAGGGGGAGGAAATGTTTCTCTTTCCTCTCACCTGCTCCCTTTCTGCCCAACAAGGCTGTCCTAAGGTAGCAGAACAGTCATCTTCTGGGTTTGAACCTCCAGCTCCCACCTCCCTACCCTGTTGGAGCTGAGCTATGTCCATCTGAAGAGTACACGAGGCCTCAGATGACTGAAAGAGAATAGAATAAAGAAGCCTGCATTTGTGGACTAGGAGGTAGAAAATGTCCTCAGAGAGAAAATGCTTTGTTTTCTTTTCTTGATTACTTGAATTAAGATTTCTTTAAATTATAATAGGCTTGAAGTGAGCCTTGAGAAAAGAAAATAAAAATAAAAGGAACGGAAACCAAAAAAGAAAGAAAAAAAGAAGAAAGAAAGAAAAAAAGAAAATAAAAAAGAAGAAGAAGAAAACAGAATCCAAGACAAAATTAGCAATCCTTTTTTTTTACACTGGAGTTTGTGTGCTGGACAGCAGGGGGACCCTTACCCTCTGTCACAGAGAGATGACCAGAAATACCTCAGCTTTATAAGGATGGGCAAGAAGTTACAGGGAAGCTCAAACATGCTGAAGCAGTCCGCTTTTGCACACCATAGTGCATCCATGAAGCAACAGCAAAAAAGATCGGCTACTCCAGTGAGTAAAACCTTGGCACTATGAATACAAAGTATACTCCAGGGCTGAACACCATTGGAAACCTTTTCTTCTTCTTTCATCAGTATTTTAATTATGCACATTTAATTCTATTACAGTCCATCAAAATGACGATGAGGTTTTCTGTCAGCATCTCTCTATGTTTCATGTCCCAGTAGCAAAAAAAAGTGACCACACACTTAGGAAAACTGTTCCTCCACAACTTCGGTGTGAGATTCTGCTTGGAGAGGAGTTTCAGGGTGTCAGAGTTGCCAAAACAGTGCAGCAGCCCCCATTTTCTCACACACACGCAGAGCTGCAACCTTGAGGTACCCCAGGCAAGGGGGCTGTGTTTGGAGCAGGCTGTGCTCTGCCTCTCCCATCTGGCTGAAGTGAGTGGCCTTGTGTGACCACATCAAAGTCAGAACAACTCTAAAGACAGTTGCAATGCCCAGGTCAGGGCAGTCAGGTCAGGACTGGGGAGTTACAAAGGCAGTGATGCTATCTGTACGCAGACTAGTTGTGGGAAGCACCAACAGCAGGGAAGCAAAACCCAGACCTTAATTTAAATTTAGTTTACACAAAGATGTGTTAGTGATGTTGTTTTAACTGGTTATTTTCAGAAGGATACAGACTGTCACTAAGACAGTCACTAAGAGTGACAAAAGCACCTCCAGGATTAAAGCACTACAGAAACAATTCCTCCCTCCCCTTCACGAACTCTACTAGAAAAATAAACAAAATGCTTTAATCCAACAGGAGATGCCAGCTGCGAATAGAGGAGCATATATTCTTTGGCACTCTCCTATCTCATGACAAAAAGTGTCCTTGATCAGTGAGATCTGAGAGAGGTACTTCCACCTTGTGGCAGAAATGCTGGTTGAATAAAGTCACAAGGACCAGGATCAGCAGAATTGCCACCCGCCAAATATTGTGTAGTGCTTACAAGCTTTATGATGGTTATGATACATCAGATGGATGCTATGGATGGCCGGTGCCTCAGGCAATTTATCCAAGGCTGTGGGCACAAAAAATACCAACTGTACAAACAAGAAATTATGAGGAAATCACCAGCTGGTCATACAAACATTGCCATGATCTATCTGTCACAGTGAACAACCAATTCAACACCAGATGAAAAAGCTAACATCGACTTGATCCCAAACATCTTAGCAAATTCTTAAGGCAAAGTTTGAGCAGGGGATTGTGGCTCAGGCTGACTCCTATGGTAGGAGTTCAGGTATTGAGAGGTAATGCTCCCTCTGAAGGGAGAGCATTAGTTAATACATCCATGTGGTCTTAGCTTCACGTCACATTCTTTACATTTTTACATTGCTGTACATCAGTAAAATAGTCAGAGTATGGGTCTTAACAATTCTAAATATCACATGTAACACATACCACCTCTAAGGTAAAAGAGACTGAAGAAGAATAGCTTTAGACCGTGTTCTTCCTATTATGTAGTTTTTAATGATGAGCTAGCAGAAATCCAAATACTGGCTGTAATTTAATGCTGATGCAATGAATTTGCTCATGATTTATCTTCTGCCCTTGAGAACAACATCTCCTTCAATTTGTTCACCAAGTGCTCTTCTCCAAGATTTTAAGCTCACGTTCACTGGGTTGTCTGTATTCCTAGTACTTGGATATGGTTCGTTCAGCATCTGGGTGTTACCATATGAAAGAAAGCTGTACACATTTATGCATGTATTTATGCATGCTTACTATCCCTTGGCATTGTATCCAAGGACAGAATGATTCCCAGTAGTAAGCAGAGTACAAGATAGTTTGGGTATTTCTTTCTTTCTTTTTTTTTTCTTTCCAGAACACCCTGGAGCAATTCCTCAAAGAAACATTAGACTCCCAATGCAGATTCTCTGCAACCTTTTCTGCTTGTACCACAGCCTGCTTGTACCTCAATGCTGCTGTATATTTTCAGACCACAGAGTCAATGATGGCACATACAGATTTTCACATGCAAAAAATGGAGAAAATTCTGCATTCCCGCTCTGAAGACACAAACACTGGTGCAAAAGATCACAATGTCTTAGCTGAATTGCTTTGCAGTACTGGAGTCTGAATAAAAATTACTGCACCAGACAATCTCTGAATCATTGCTTTCAATAACAGCACTACAAAAAGGCTTGTCAGGTTGGAGTTCCCCCCAAGCTGAACGACAAAGCAGTATTGTTAGGCACAATGAACTCAATGAGTTAAACACTCAAATGAGTCCAGCGTTGGAATTGCCATGGCTTAAAGTACATCCCACACAAAGAACCTTCAGTAACTGCACATGTGACTTCTAGAGTGCAAGAGATGGGCTGGGATAAAAAATAAATATTTTTTTAAAAAAAAAAAAAGCAATTCTTCCATGCCTCACTTAATACGTTCTGTCTTCAGCTGAAGATGGAATATTCTTTCAATATTCTCTCTTATGTGTTTTGGGCTTAAATTTTAACGTGTTATATGCTCCTTCCACCGCTTTGGGCAAGTACATGGGATGTCTTTCCAACCTCTTCCTAGAGCCAGTGGTTCTCCGTTGGCTGTTTCTCTGAGACTGGTTTGCAGCCTTGGCTGTTTGGGCAGTATCTTGAGAGTACCTGCGGGGAGCACGAAGGATCCAGTTTGAATGTAAACTGTGTTCACGTGTGCTCTTAGCAACTGAAAGACAGAAGATAATCCCAAGTTAACAGAGTTTGCCAGTGATATATTCATATGTACAGTAAGAGAATAAGGTGGTTCCTGGGTCCTTCCTGAGTAACCAGAAGCTTACTGATAGGTTTCACCCTCTTTACATTTCAGGATGTCACTTGGGGTGGGATTCATCTTATCTAATATTTTAATGTCTGCAGTGCGAATACATGTGTCAAAGCAAGTCCTGCACACTCTTTTAGGGCAAAAATAACCTGACCTGTTTCAGGTATTTACCTTAGTCTAAGCCAAAGCACAGACAAACAAAGGGAAAGTCGGTTTCTCTCCACTGATTATACAAGATGGATAATGAGTTCAGATGGGAACTTCTTCATTTGGTCAGGTAATCCCATCCTTTCTGATGGCAACATACCATTATTTAGACTAACTTCTAAGGGAACACTTTTTTTCTATTTAGAGAGAAAACATCCATGCATTTGGGATGGATGCTGGGGTTGTTCACTCTGGAGAAGAGAAGGGTCTGGGGAGGCCTTATACCACCTTCCAGTACTTAAAGGAAGCCTACAGGAAAGCTGGGGAAGGACTCTTTGTCAGGGGGGTGTAGTGATAAGACAAGGGGGAATGGCTTTAAACTAAGAGAGGGGAGAATTAAATTAGATATAAGGAAGAAATTATTTACTTAGAGGGTGGTGAGGCCCTGGCACAGGCTGCCCAGAGAAGCTGTGGGTGCCCCATCCCTGGAGGTGCTCAAGGCCAGGCTGGATGGGGCTTTGGGCAACCTGGGCTGGTGGGAGGTGTCCCTGCCCATGGCAGAGACATTGGAGCCAGGTGATCTTCAAGGTCCCTTCCAACCCAAAACATTCTATGATTCTATGAATCTGTGATTTCTCAATGAGAAAAATGAGAACGAGACATTTTCATAGCTCTTCTCTGAGAACAGCTCACGGTAGAGATGCGGTGATGGAATTTAACCCTGGGCAGAGGACAAACAGTACCTTAGCACTCCATGTACTACATTTGCTCACATAATGGCCAGAAATAAAAGTTTTGCACCCTTTCACATAACGGCCACAAATAAAAGTTTTTCACCCTTTCAATAGGGATCAAGCAAAGTATTACTGTAGTTTCACATAATGCATGTAATACTCCTGGATTTGGGAAGTAACTCTGGGAGGAAAATTGTGTCCATTAAATAAACAAACATGGAACTACATTGCCACTCTTTCCTCTATTTGTTGCACACCAGAAGTATTAATATTTTGTCTGTTTTATACCCTACCATCGAAATCAACATCCACGTTTGGCAAATCCATGTCAGGAACTCTCCGCCATCTCTCTGAATCCAGATCTGCAATAACTGAGTCAAAGAATGCTATTGCTTCTCTTATATCTGAACTGTGCTGTGGGACTATTCTTCTCTCCATAGATGCCTGTTAAAAATAAAAATAATAATAATAATAAATAAACAGCTAAGGGTTGGACAAAATTACCTCCTAATGAGCAACCTGTATAAGGAAGTTGCAAAGATTGTATTTGGTTCCATATTTCAAGCTGCCAGAAAGGGACATGGGTCCAGACTACTCCAGAGCAGCCATCAAAGAAAGCAGACCTGCAGCCTAACAAGTGTCCATCTTGTTACGTGCTCAACATGAAACATCTTCCACTTGGGCACTGCCAGCAGGATTTTATAAAATCCCTCAGAATCCCCTTATCAAGCTATTTAATTGGGTGGCTAGGTGACAGCTGTGCTTTGTGGCCAAATTTATTCTGCCTAGCAGTAGGCACCTAATGAGACACACACATTAGAAATGTAGTCATATAGGGTTCCTTCTCTAATTAATATAGGGCTCTGGTGCCTTCAGAAGATGAGTCAGACCTTAGGTAGGCTGAATTCCCCTCTGCAGGCAGCTCTGTCCCTTAACTGCGAAGGGATCATAGGGTAACTTAGTTACTAATTTAAGCATATTATTAAAATGCCTAAGTTAGATGAGATGAATCCAGATCTAAATTGCTAAAGTCTTTTTTGAAATGGAAAAGGACTGTGTGTGCTAAAATGTGAGTCATTCAACACTGTGATAATTCCCACAGGAAAGCCACGGGTTTTAAAATTAGGAGCCTGTCTTGATAAAAAAGCACACGTCTGCCAATAAATGCTGAAGCAGCCATAAAGTCCTCGGTTAGCAGTTCTGTAGGACCATGTGGGATGAACCCTTCTGCCATTCATGGGGGCTCTGCCCAGTGAAGGGCTGTGTATTTTCCATTCCAACCCAAGCTAGGCATGTCGCCAGAGCAATTCCAAGTCAGGAAAGTACTGTTCTGGGTTTCAAGTACACAAGCAAAAAATACATGCTGTATCACATCTTTAAAGGGCCAGCTTGCTCCCCATTAGTGGGATGGTGGAGGCAGACAGATGAGTTGGCTTCCCCTCCTGACATTATAGGATGATTGACATCCTCTGTAGAGCTAAGAGAGAACAGCTACCACACATTGACTGAGAACCGTGATGGTTGATATAACTAAGCCCTCACTGTTTAAAAGACTTTCCAGCATCTGACACACCTCTCTATTTTTTTTTCTCATTAGCCCCAAGAGGCAAACTTTGAATCCACGACCAGCCTGTCCAGGCTTTGGGTCTTGCATCTAGACTGAAACTGCCCTGAGGACAATGTTGTCTGGACAAAGCACATTCCTATTAATTATACAGCAGGTAGGTGGAAAAAAGGGGGAATTCTAAAGACAGGTAATTTAACAAAAACAGGTAGTAAGGGACAAAGCCACTCAAGCCTGCTGATAAAATCAACTTTGTGGTATATGAACATAAAACTTGGAGTTACAAAACAGAGTATTCTGGATGGTCTAGAAGTCTTCTTCTAAGCCTTCCTAATTTTTGCAAAGCCAGGGGTGTGAAGCTGCGGCCTTGCCATTTATATCAGCAAGAATAACTCACTGGGTGGCATATGTTCCTTTTGATGTTCCTGAGGGGAAGGCACATAGAGTTACCATGATACCAGCTATCAGGGCTCTTGGTGCAAAAGAGCTGGTTGGCCACAGTAAGATGACTGCACTCCTAGTCTCAGCCTGTGGGAGATAAACATATTTGCTAAACCTGAGTTAAACTTCTGGTGTTTTTTTTAACTGGTACTTTCAGTGGCAAATCTCAGAAAGTCACAATGCTACCTGAAGCCTAGTTGGGCAGAATCTATTTCTCAGCCTTCTGGTTCCTGGTTTAAGTGTTCTTCTGCATTCATTTCTCCCCCCTTATCTAGTGGTTAGCTATGTTCTGCTCCGTTACATCACTGCTCAGCTCATCAGGGGAGCCAGCATGCTGTAAATCTCCCCTGTATCAAGCCAACCTTTGTGTGATGGTATGAAAAGTCAGTTCATAAGCTGTGTATCTGTAGTCTTGAGATTTGTCGCATGGCACATGGCACCAGCAAACCACTCTCCTATATCTCAGTCATTCTCTTTGGATGTTTTCCTAGTCCTAAATAGTAACGTCTTTATAAAATTTGTCTTCTCCAGCCCCCTGAGCAGAGTGTTATTTCCCACATTTTACTCCTAGCTTCTGAGAATCACCACTCAAAGCATTAAAAAGATGACATAAAACCCAATAAAACCAAATGAAAAATTCCTGCTGACTGAATGGGTGTTAAATCAAGAAGTAAAATGAAAAAAAAAAAAATGTGGCATCTAGCTGTAAAAACATGAGTTTTGTCCTTTGGTTAAATAATGCCTGCAACAGAGCTCAGCCTCAGCCATTCTGACATTATGCTGGGACAGAACATCTAAATGTGGAAATAATTTTCTGGTAAAGTCCACATGGATTAATCAGCAGGTCAGCCATACGTCCCTTCTTCCCACTTTCCCTGCTAATATCCAGTTCAAAGGCTGCACTGGGTATCCTGTGAGCCTGCTGCCAAAGCAGGTCTGGTTGCAGTTCTTTCCTTTTTCCTCGCTGAATCAAGCCCATGGTCAAATTAACTGCTGAACTGTCTAGTGACATGCGATCTGTAAAAGGCAGCCATGAGGAAGCTTTGAATTGCTTTTCTCTCTAGGATACATGGAAATAATCTGCATGAAAAAATTCAGTGTTATTTTTCAGTGTCATTACAGCAAAGGGTAAAGAACTACACTGTCTGCCTCACAACTACTCGACAGCTTACTAATTAACAGAGAAAGAAACCCCTAAGAATTCTTCATTGGCTATCAGTAGAGCTTGCACCATAGCTAAATGTAGCACTAACAAGCTACCTGACCAGAGAAAACTGTAGCTGTTTCAAAGAATTTACAATTATTTTCTGTAAGTAATTTTATGCCAATGAAAAGGCTGCCAGTAAACCCAGGGATTTACTGTGCTTGTGGTCATTAAAAAGCTATAAATAACCACAGAGGAGAACTCTGAGGCACTTAAGTAGCCTGTCAGAGTACTGAGAGAGCAGATCTCTTTTTCATAACTTGTTTTCAGATACATCCCATACTCTCATAGTTCTTTCCTTATTTTCTCTTCACACACCTCCAAACACATACGTTTCTTTCCGTTATCAGTCATTCATACTTGACCTCACACTACTCAGAAAGAATCTTAAGTTATTTAGTAGTATTCCAAATGATGTAACAATAAAAAGACAAGTAGCTGAAACCCAAATGATGTAACAATAAAAAGACAAGTAGCTGAAACCAGTAAGGCAGAAAATCAGCAGAAGTCATACATCTAATTGATTCATAGCTTAGGACTAATTACATGACAAAAGTTCTTAGGTCTTCAGAATTACCTTAGAAGACTCTTTGGAAGGAAGTAGAAGAAATGACTTCTTTCCAGTTTTGGATGATTTTGTGGATGTTGGGGAATCTGCAGTCCTATGCATGGATTTCAAGTTATTGATGTTGTCAAGATATTTTTTCCTCAAGGCTAACAGATCCTGCAAGTACTTCAAGCAGTCCTGAGTCTTAGAATACATCCAGTCCCTGTCTTCCTCTTTTGACTGGAAGCAAGAGTCGATGCTGGATGTACTTTTGCATTTTTTTAGTGATTCACCAACTTTTTCCTGCTCACCTCCAAGGACATACATAGAACTGCTGCGGATCAATCTGACAGCAGAACCTGTGCCATCACAGTAAGGGATGTCATCTGTCACATTTCTTCGGTGGAAGCTGGGGTGAAATATAGAATGGATCTTTTTGAACATAGTGTGTCGCTTCCTCCCCTTTATACCTCGTCTCTTTCAGCTTCTTAATTTAATCCAAGATCTAGTAACCAGTAGCTGCAACCCTTGCCCTCAGCTGCCAGACGAATTTGTCACTTAGTGTAACGAGGACACAAAAATCTATTACTGCTTCGCTTGCCTTCAGTCTAACGCGATGTGAAGAGCATGATGAACACAGAAACGTGCTTTCGATTCCGTTAGTGTCAGGAAAATAGCTCAGTCCTTTCCTCGGATTAAAATATAGCACAGGAGGCCAAACGTCATGCTTTGACCTTCTGTTTGACGGCTCCTCGTACAAACCATCAGCGTCGAGATGGAAATTGCCCCCTGATGTTTCTCAGTCCCCTCCTTGTCACCACCCGGCTCCGAGGGCCGGAGGGCGCCCGGCGCTCTCCATGGTGCTGGATCCCTCCCGAGGTCCCCGGAGCATCCAAACCCGTCCTGGTTGTGCAGGGCACCCCGCCCTGTGATCTCTGCAAGAGCTCCTTCAGATCAGCCTCGACAGGGACAAAAGGCTGAGTGGGGAGGAATGGTTTCTGGCGGGTGGAATTCAGAAGTCGCTCTGGGTTTCACCCTGTGGTAACCAGGAGATGGCTACAGCTACCCGATACCACAGCACTACCGGGAGCAAAGTGGATTCAGATGTCAGGGTCTATTACACTCAATACAAAGTTGCCCTGTTTAAGAGATGCTGTAAAGTAAAACTGTTCTAAAATGCTTCTCTATCAAAGAAAGAAAGAAGAAGGAAGGAAGGAAGGAAGGAAGGAAGGAAGGAAGGAAGGAAGAGAGAGAGAGAGAGAGAGAGAGAGAGAGAAGAAAGAAAGAAAGAAAGAAAGAGAGAGAGAGAGAGAAAAATAAAGCATTTGTTAACATTTGTGACTTTGTAATGGCATGATACGTGCTTTAGAAATAAGTAGAGAGTATATTTGGTCATCTCTTACCACTATGATGATCAACACCTCTTCTAAAGCAAACAGGAATGTCCAGATTTAAAACATTCAGGAGAACTTTCATAATTCATCTTGCTCAAATGTTAGATGTTTGAGAAAATAACTACATTGAAAGGCCTTGGATATCACCCTCCAGACTTTACTGAGCAATCTTCTGCTAACAATACTGGAAGTGTCAAATGAAGGTTTATGCAACCTAAGAGCTGTAGGATCTCAAAAAGAAAGATATCTGCTAATATAAATTTGCATCCATTCCCTCAAGCACTCTGATCCACCAGGCACTAAACATATATTGTAACCTTCTTAAAACATGCACTTTATCCCTTTCACTTTTAGCTAAATTTGAAAAGTGCTTATAACAGAATGAAAAAAAATATGCAAAATAACTTCTTGGCACTTTTTCATCCTTTTAATTCTAGCATAGATATGTTTCCTGCTGCAGTTGAGAGCAGCCTAAAGATTGTTCAGATGTATTCATCTGCTTAAGACCTCGTACCTGTACAGAGGTATTCCATTATTGATTTTCTCACCATGTCCCATTCTATCCTACAGCTAGGTAATAAATGAAGTTGAATTTATGCTAGTGTGGACCATTAGAACTATGAAAAGAGATGAGATCTCTCTGAAAATTACGTCTGAGTTGGAGAAAAATTCTGGTCATCAATAATGACTTGATTTGGTGTTTGGGTCTATGTTTGTAGACATGACACAATACCAACGAGCCTTAGAGAGGCAGTCTATGAATGACCTTGTGCTCCTGTACTCACTTTATCCAAAAAACAAACAAACAAACAAAATGAATAAAATCAGTGGAAGCTCAAGGAGTTATTGGCAATGACTCTAGTCAGTAAGGGCAATGGGAACTCCACAAAGCACCTGCTTATAGGATCAGACATTGTCTTTCAATAGTGACTGATTTCTAAGCTCAACTGGACTCATGAAAAGCTATAAGGCAAATGAAAAAATATGAAAAAAAAAAAGGCTTCTGTTTATAAAAGAGAAAAAGAAGGTACATTATGTACTGTGAAGAGTAAAAACGATGACATACACTGTGATTTGAAAAACATTCCATATAGGCCATAGATTTTCCTGTCCTCCTTCAACAAAGTACTTAAAGCATATGATGACATCTCATTGATTAAAAAGAAATAAATAAGTAAAATTTTCAAGCTCTTAAGAGGGTTCTCACTTTCAAGTACATTTCATTCCTTTTTTTTTAAAAAAAAGCTTGCTGGGCCACATTCATTATGTGTCAATGTATGCATGGTTCCCATTTTTCATTGTAGTTTTAAAATAAGAAAGAATTAATAAATGCATGAGTCAATATAATAGCTGCATTATATACCAGAATTTCATTCGGTGTAATAAAGGGTCATTTACAATTATTTCAGACATGAATATTTTATTCTGTGCACTGGTTATGAGCAGTGGGAATACACAATCTTCCTTTCTGATTGTAAAAATTAACATTAATCTGTTTTCTTCAGAGTCTCTACTGTAATTTAAATAGCTCCATGGATTTAGAAAGTTAGAGGGCAAAATTATGGATACCTTTAAAGGTCACAAATGTCTCTAGTGTGTTTTATAAGCAGAGGAATGTCCTACTTCTTTTCAAGATACCTTCCTATAGGGCATTTGTGTTCAAACATGTTTCCTGAATAGTGCTTTATTTATTTAAAGTCAAACTCAAGTCCCCTTGTATCTGTGAGTGCTTCCATTTAAGTAAATAGCAGGGCAATTATAATTCAGCCACCACAGATCACAGGTCTCTTCCCATCTCACCACTGGGAACAGAATATGTTACCATATCTAAGCTGGCTGATAATTAAAAAAATGCGGTCTTATTCCAGAATGATTTTCTTCTGCACAAGGACACTTATCAAATGACAATTATGGTTAGAGAAGAATATTTACTCTGTTAATTCAAAGTACCAAATTCACAGGCAGCTATTAGATCATAAAGACCTCCTATAGAAGGAGTTTGTGAGAAGCAGATCACATAGACCACACTAAATATTTAACAGCTTCTAAGATTACTAACTTTGACAAGACAATGCCCATACCTTACTGTTCATTTGACTGCTTGATTCTGACTTTACTTGTTCAGTATTTTTAAGTGACTTCTTTCTATTACTGCTTTCAATTTCTGTTTGGCTTTGTAGTTAACATAGTGATCTAATTGCCACAGATCACCACTCAATAACACACAAAATTGCCTTTATTATCTACACCTGGCATACTGGCAGCTCCTGAACCATCATGACTGGGTAAGAAAATGCAATTAGAAAATCCAATATATGTGTTCTGTGTAACTATATTAACAGTGCAGTTGAACAAAAACCCATAAAATCAAATGTGTATACAGATGCAATTAAAATAAAATAGATTGATAGCAAGTGTTCCTGATTAATGAGTGGATTAAATCATAAAATCACACATTTGTAAGGTTTTTTGTTGGTTTTTTTTTACAATAACTCATTTGTAAAAATGTATGGTTATCTCCAGAACAACATATCATGTATACAAATTTTGCTTGACTCAGATGATGATTTCACCCAAATCTATGATTCTATGATCAAAATGACTGATACAAAGGAATGTCAAATCTTTCTTGAAACAAAATAACGTTCTGATGCCAAAGAAGGAAACCTTTGTCAAACTGTAAATAACAAGATATTTTTTCTCTGTCATAGAGTTGTATCAAGCAATTCTATCTCATTCAGGATAATAAATTTTGGGCATTTAAAAATATATAAAAACATATAAAAGAAAAACACTTTCCCTGCTTTTAAACAAGTAAGCAATGAATAAATAAAAATCAGTACTTCTAAAATACATGAATGGATAGCGAGATTATTGAGCCTTGTGTTATTTTAGACAGTTCAGAAACTAAAGTACAGCTGTCAATCTCTGTTAAAATCTGGCTATGTCTGTATAGCTTCATAAAAGAGCAGATTGTCTTGGAGAGAGCTAACTGAAACAGTCCAAAACAGAGGAAAAGCATGAACAGCTATTCATCACCATGCGTATCTACTGCTTCACTTTGTTCCCCAGTCCTCTACTATTAAACACTTTTTATATTTACTTTATGTTCTATAAAGAAACAAAAAAAACCCACAGTCTCCTAGAGATTTAAGAGAATAAAATAAAATAAAATAAAATAAAATAAAATAAAATAAAATAAAATAAAATAAAATAAAATAAAATAATCAGGAATGCTGATGTCACTACTCAATACTTAAGAAAAAAAAAATATCCCAACATTTGATACCTGCTTATAGTAGTTATCATGGCACTTAACTGTTTCAAAGACTGTACGTACTTGAAAATATTAGATGGTGGGGCATTCCCAAATCACAGGTCAAGTGATTTTGGGGGGCTGATAACAAATATCAGAGGCACAATATTGTGGGACTCCTACCTCTCTTTGACTAAAAGGGAAGATGGAGGAACAGACTATGTTACCAAGTAAAGAAGAATCCTCAGGAATGGTTGATTCTTCTGCTCTGTCAGTCCATTAAAGTAATGGTTTCAAGGAGTTCTGCCTCTTCAAAACTGTTATCTGGAACTGCTTGATGTTTTCACTCTTTCAGGAAGTTCCCAAAGTATGGGATGTGAGCACAGTTCTGATACCATACATTCAAAAGAGCTACTATTGCTTCTCTCAGCCATGAAAGCAGAGAAGTCTGTTCCCCAAAAATGAAGATGAAGATGTTCATTTGAATTGGTTTAGATGTAAATGCAGTGAAATCTAGATGCCTTGCCCATGCCAGATTTAATGATTGTCTTTTTTTTTTTTTTCAAGAATACGTGCTTGAACTGTGCTGTCACCAGGGCAACACTGAACTGCAAAACCAGCTGAGTCAGAAAACCAAGGCTTCTGGCAGAAGATGAATAGAATTTTTTGTAAATCTGGAGCATAATCTTCCCATCCAATTTAGATTTGAATCCAGGTATTTCCATTTGACTTGCACCCTATATATTCTCCATGAATTTTCACTGCATGTGACATTTTAATTCACTGAATAAGTTTGTTGCAGCAAAAGCACTGGTTGCAACTAACCAAAAGAATGATGGCATTTCCACCAGGTAGTATGAGAATATAAATAAATGCCACTATTTATGTACAGAGAAAAGCTTAAGAAATGTTTATGCAAATGAGACATCAGTCTTTTTTCTTGTATATTTTAACTTAGCCTGGCATTGCCATTTGGAAACATTTTGTGCACATCCTATGACAAAGCAATAAAATCCACTCTAGTGAAACTCCCCCTGTTTTGCACCCCTATCTCTGTTGCCTGGCAGCATTTTCAGAGGGTGAAAGGTTACCACACTTACCCGCTGCTCTATCTAGCCTTCTCCTTCCCTTTGTTTCCTCAAATACCCCTGCTGTCATTAAAAACTCCATCTCTGTGACAAGCTTGACAAGGGAACTTTGTCTTGTCTTCTGTCACACAGGGTCAAGGGACAACCAGTTGTCCTTGCTTGTTTCACTGGGAGAATTCATGTCCTTTTGGGAGAAACATTGTTAGGAACTTTCTAAGCTTTGTTAGTCTTTGTTGAATTAGTTTTTCTCTCGCCTCTTGAGTCTTTTGTCCCAAAGATGGCTGAAGAGTTATTGTGATGTCTAGCTTGCTGCCCGTCACA